ATTAGGGGAAACTAAGAACTAAAACTGAAATAAAATAAAGATTAAGATAAATATAAGAAAAGAGAGATCAGAATGTGTATTCTGCGTACTTCAAGGATTCTGTAACTCGTTGGCTTACAATAATTAAAACAATAATGTTCTAATTAATCCTAAAACGCTCTCGCTATATTTAGGATTAATGTCTAGTTTCTACTATCCGGTTCGACACCCACGCTCTCGCAGTGCCGACTCGAACCTTAGTAAATTTCTCACTTTCGTGGCAAATTGTATTAAGTGATTTTTCACTCTCGTGACAAAGATATTTAAATTGAGTTTAAAAATAAAGACCAAAATACAATTTTCAAATTAATTAATTAACCCAACATTGTTACCGAGTCCTATCGGAAACAACGATCCTCACATACCAGACTCAAAATAACTTAGCAAGACATAATTTTGAACACAAACATGCTAATACGATAATTAAACATAAGGAAAAATAATGATTTAAAACAGAAATTAATTTAAACTAAGATGAAATTATAAACAGTTAGAATAAGCAATTAAAATGGAACCTGAAAATAAAATGAAAACTGAAATTACTACTGAAATTATCTTTGCGTACAATAACTTGAAACCAATTGAAAATATGTTGACATGCTTGAAGAATCTGGTACATAATTAAAAATAGCAAACTCCTATATTTAGAGTTGTGATAGATCTTCCATACCAGAAGAGCTATCACTTTTACATGTAAATTCTCTGCTTAAAATTCTAAGAACAATACTCTACTTGTAACGAAAAATGGTGGGGGCCTCACTGTAAACATTTCGTCCCTTTTATACTGCTCTTCCTCCTTGAAAATCTGGTCAATACGTGCATTTTAGATACAGTTACGTTGAACGAGAAAAGTGGACACATAGAGAATATAAGAGAGAATTTGGTTAGTGGTGGGGGCCACATAAAGAAGTGGCAGGCGCCACTTTTTCTTGCAAATTGGACGTGGCAAGGGCCACATATGGATGGTGGTGGGCGCCATGCTTGGGCGTGGCAGGGACCGCGCTATTAGGTGGCAGGGGCCACTTGTGAAATGGTGGGCGCCACTTATTTGTTTGATGGGCTGGGTTTTATAATTTTTTCCTTTTTGCTAATGCTTCACATCCTATTTGCTCTTTTACCACCTTTCTTGAATTTATTTATTTCTTTTCTTCTTTAATCAAATCTACAACTTGCTCGATATACCTGAAATAAGATAATAATATCGGCATAACAAGACATAAATAAATGAAAACGATACTAAAATGAATGCAAGTCGAGTCAAATATACGCTATAATTTCGCGTTATCACCTACTTTGGACGAAAGAATACCACATCATCTAATAACCTGCTTTAGACGAAGGGAAAGACTCTTTGGAAAATACATCAAAAACAAATGAAGATACATAAGAGTCATCCAAGAATTGCACTGGACAGAAAAGACCACGAACATCCAATAACCTGCTTCGGACGAAGGAGAGACTCTCTGGAAAATTCAATCAGAAATATCTAGAACATTAGATGTGGCGTCAGACCATACCTGAAGCTACATCAGAGTTATTCAATAAAGATACTGGACAAAAAAGAAACCACGACATCCAATAACCTACTTCTGATGAAGGGAGAAAGAAATACGATATACAATAACCTGCTTTGGATGAAAGAAAAACAAAGTATCATGGAATAACACTGGCCAGGAAGAAGAGGAAAACATTTAAGAATGGTACTGGAGTGAAAAGACATGACATCTAGAAATGATACTAGAGTGAAAAGAGACAGACATCCAGGAATGGCAGTGGAGTGAAAAGAGACAGACATCCAAGAATAACGTTGGACGAGGTAAGAAACGCTCCACTGAGGAATGTGACGTAATATTGCAACTCCAACATGTCAACTCAGAGGAGGAATGCCACTGAAAAGTGGACTTTGGAGAGGATACTGCTAAAATAAATTATAGTTCACTGAAAAGAAATCATCCTGACTTCAAATAACTCCTAAATTCCCGGGGAGAAAATCCATTCTTCTCTTGTAGAGAAATGAGGAATACTTTGCTGAGGAATAAAGATCTCTTAAGAGAAACCCCTTAGCAGGCAGACCTTTGAAGAGTAGCAATGGATCCTTTACTGGGGAAAGGAGTCCTTCTAGGAAATAATTTTTCCAGCACGAACCTTGTATGGGTAACAATCTCAAATGTTATTTGTGTTCCTGCTCGTATTCTGTTGAGGATAACGATCCAAACTTCCCGACATGCTCTTCAAATTCACAAGTTGTTTAGCCTGCGCATGGACTTAATTTGATCAATCCTTGAAAAGGAGGAAATGTCTCTGCATAATTTCTTGTCCTAGTTTGTAAGGCCTTTGACAAAAAATTCTCAAGAGGACTTTCTGAGATTTGTACTGTCAAGATAACCTGCCTCAGTATTATGAACTTTAGAACACTGCCTCTGACTGATCAGAGTTAGAAGCAATTTCAACCATACTTGAGTGAATGCCCCTGTGTCTTCAGATTCTAAAATGATTCTCCCCTGATCAATGAATTCTCAGAGAGATTTTTCAAATCTCGACATAACTGCCCCAGTTTGACTACACTTTGAGGGATCGGATCCCGACTTGAATGCCCCAGATTGGATAATTTTGAGATATCTTCTCTCGACTTTGATTGCCCTAGGTTGGCTGCATTTGACAACAAACAATACTGGGAAAACAAACTCACTCATACCCAACAGAGTCTCAAATTTTTCCTTTTTTAGGAGAACTGACTTACGTCTAGAAAGTAGACTATTACACAATTGTACTTCTTGAATTGCCTCATGCTCAAGCAGATACTTGAAGAAAATTGTCCTTCAGGACCAACTGAAAATGATACATCATTTCTCAACGGAGACTTCTGGGCAATCAAAGCTTCCACACAACCTGCTTCAGATCATTTCTCAAACTAGTCTTCTTTTACTCAACAGAGTCAATAGAAGGTCTTCCCCAGATTAAGATCATCTTCGAAAATGATTTACCCCTCAACGGTACCCCAAAGCAATTTGTCTGTCGAGATAATCAAACTTTTATCTGATGCTCATCATGCAAGCTCACTTGATGTTTAAGCACTTTTTCATATACAAAGAATGTTTATTCTAAGAATGATAAATCTAATGCAAATCATATGCTTGTCTTGAAGTGGAAAAACATTTACTGAAAAGATGTTGAAACATCAAAAAAAAATTATACAATAGACAGTAAAAAGATGGAGTGACACCAACTTAAAAGTTTTAGCAAGCCTCATAGCAGTCAGATTACTGTAATCTCGCTACAGTATTGATTCGAATTAACTCATGCTTCAATTAGGACTTTCAAGGATTGTAACGTGGCCTGGTTCACGGTTTTAGAAAAAAAGATTTTAAGACTCAAAATTATTTGGTGCCCACCCATTTTCCATGATGTTCTCCATTCCTATGTTCACTTAATCCAATATGAGCACTCATCTCTCGAGAGGAGTTTATGATGGTTGAGGAACCACTGAAGTTTCTTACTCACCTTTGCTTCTTTTGTGTTCCTGGTCACACAACTTTGTTCTTTGCTGAGGATCTTCATTTTGTAATCATTTCTCGCCTTTCAGGCTTTCCCTTTTCTTTTTGTTTTCCTTAACTTTTGCCTGGACAAATTCTTTTGAATTTTAATTTTGAAGTCCAGCGGGATACCCTAACTTTTTCCTAAGTCACTTATTTCCATTTCGACTTAGAGGGCTTTTTTCTTTTCTTTTTTCAATCATTCTTTTTTCTTTCCTTTTGGACACGTCGTGTGACTTTGAGTCGTTTTCAACTTGTTGGAAGAATTGTGACTGATTTATTCTCTAATCGGTGAGGGATAAATCATTATTGTATCGTCATCTTTTGTCCTTCTGATGAGTGATGGATAAGGCGTGGTAAACCTCGAATGTTCACTCCCTTTTGAAATTTAAATGCTTGATCAGATTAACTGAAATCTATTATTCCCTGAATTAAAAATGAGGATTTTTTCTGAATATAAAAGAAACTCCTACTTCAAGGCTCGAAGGAGTTAACGAGGGTCTATCCCCCTTATACCTTTGGTGTTTATAAATTTGAAGCAATGGATGTACATCGTCAGCAGAGTTTCACTCAAAAGCATATCGTCTGAGATTCTTTGTATATTTCTTGTTATCCTACCTCCAGAGGTATTTGCTTTGTTCACAAGAGTTGAGTATCAAAAGCAAATAAGAAACATTTAAAAGTGAATATGAACGGATTAATTCAAGACAAACATATTCAATACATTATGATTAATATTCAAAAAATAAGCAAGTTTTGCATACAAGAAAATACCGAACAAGACAAGAAACATTATAAATGAGAATGCAAATGAAACTAGAAATTTGTCATATTGAAGAGACCAGACTCTGTATGGACTTGTTGCTTCAGAAGATGCACTTGGTAGTCTTGACATTCACTGAGTCAAAGGAGACTTCAAATCTGATCAGCTGGTGCGAGAATGATAGCCTTTGCATTAGGCAAGTCTTGCACCTCATCTCTGAATGGATTACAATCTTCAGTTGAATGACCAGGTGCCCCAACATAGTAACCACAAAGGGTTCCCTCAAAAGATGTGATGAATATTTTATCAAACGAATTTGCATAAATTGTATCATAAAGTATCTTCTACTACAGAGAAGAAATGCAAACCATCTTCTACTACACAGAAGATAAAATCTGCAGTTGAATTCCGGGAAATCTCATACTTTACAAAAGAATCTTTGTCTTTTACTACACAGAAGCAATATTAAAAAATTGTAACAAAGGATCTTCTACTACACCGAAGAATATAAACTCTGAATGTAGAACTCGACCTTTGAGGCATATTTTTCTTCTACACATCAGCAGACGTCCAAGAACTAGACATATTATACTTCTTTATCACAGAAACATCACTCCATTTTCTACTACACAGAAGAAGCACTCAGTTGAAGAGAAAGAAAGAGTCTAAAACAATTTTCCAAAGAGGGACTGGTCTTTGGAAAAGAAGTCTGACAAGTGCCAGTCTTTATACTTCAACCTCTTACGGTCCTCAATATCATAACCAGGTGCCCAAGGATGGGAAACAAATCTAGCATTCACATCGAAATCAGGGGAGAGGTTTGTGGGAAGAGGATCCAAAGAATAGAGCTTTACCAATTGAATTTCCAACAGACGAGAAAGTAACTGGATGTTAGGCATTGGTATTTCATTAACATGCTTCTCAAGTTTCTTCTGTCTCTGCTGATACGCGTTGCCCCATAGATTCACTTGGAGGCCAGAAACTAGCTGCTGACGAGGAAATCCTGGAATATGAAGCTCTGGATGAGACCCACAAAGTATTTTATGATTTGAAAGAGGTCCCATACAATGAGGTCGAGTAACATCTTGCAACAATATATATATAGGATCACTTTTCTTTGTTGGCACTATCTTTAAAACTTTCACACCCGGCTCAACTGGGTCTTCAACTGACAGTTTCCACCTTTCAAAAATTGTTGACTATGGACCATGGCTTTGCATGTCTACCACAAACAACCTCCTTTGTCCTTTCATTTGGGTCAATTCCTCTCAGAGTTGTTCCATACCCGAGCTCTGAACACATAACAGTGAGGATTCAAGCATGTAATTCTAAAGAGAATACCATGTCTGAATGAGAATTTCCACAACTCTTAGTACCTGTTATGAATGTATGAGGATGCATGAGGTGTATGAGTGGATGCAATGTCATTTTCAATCATTTTAAAGGAACCCACATGTTTTTAGTTTTGACTTTCATCCAACAAGAGATGGAGAAACACAATATAAGGCTCACAAGCATGATTCTTTGGAAATGGAAAGAACATGTGTTAAAAATTTTCATGCATACATTTTTTTATACATTTCTTATTTTTTATAAAAATAAATATGCTATGATGCAAGTGCAATACTCATGAAATCAATGCTTCCACAAAACTGGTTATTGTGTTGTACTGTCTCTGAACACATCAAGAATACCAGAACCATAAATCCGAAACATAACCATAGAACCGTAAATCCATAGTCACCAACAGAACAAATATAGAATAGAAAACCATTTAAACACAATAGTCACCATTTGTACCTGTAAAGAAGATTTCTGCCCCACTCACGGGTCAAGACTAGGACAAGGTAAGGTCAATGGTAATCCAGAATCACGAGTTCGCTTGAGAGTACTTTCATCATACACCTACGTAATAGTGATAGCACCTCGTTAAAACTTCATCTAAGCGTGAACGACACGACTATTTAGGATAATCTACATCTCTTGTCTGTCGTGTTCCACTCTATTCCTAGTGTTCATATTGTTTGTCATTTGGTCTGGGTATTGGATCTTTTACCTCATAGTAACATTCCATCCAACCTGAAAAACCAACAAATCCAACACAACACCAGTATATGAAAAACAATAAAGATGCAATACAAACATATGCTCAGATAAACATGTACAAATGAATAAACTGAAATCCTAATAAAACAAACACTCAACAAAAAGAAAACAAGAGCTAGGAGCGACTCTGAGATGGACCAACATTTAGTCAATCTATTCCCCAGTGAAGTCGCCAACTGAAGCAACCAACAAAAATATCATCAAGATAAAATCAATGAAGTCGTCATTGAACGTTTTTATCCCTCAGGAAAAGAAGGATAAACATCGAGTAAACCTAAAAAATTTGAAATCACGATCAAACGACCGAGAGATCAAATAAGGGAGTCGATTATACGAGAAGAATGTATTAACACCCCTCACGTATGTGGTACTCCACGGGATCCACTCTTATTATTCTAATCAAATGGTGTGTTCAACTCTACAGCTTACTTGCTAAGGAAAAATGCAAAGAGGAAAGCATGTAAAAAAAACACGAGAAAAAGAATGAAATATTTACAAAGTTCTGCTCGACTGAGCCACGTGACCAAATGTCTACGTATCCCTTTTAAGGAATCAGAACGTCCTAGTTTGGCTCAAAAGTTTATGTTTATTGGTTGATTTTAAATGAAGAGACAAGTCGTCATTTTTAAAAGAGATGACTCGTCTAAATACCCATAAGACATGATAAAGAATAAAGGACTATGCACCAGCATGAGAGAGGGTTTGAGAACACTTCTAATACTCAAATAGAGAAGTCGACAACCATGGGGATAGAGGAAGAATATCTCAATTATAAATGAATCATGTATAATCTTGGAAAAAAAATTTTAAAGGAAAAAAGGTGCTCGAGCGCACATAAATGTTTGAATGATGTTGAATATTTTTTAGACTTGAAAAAGGTTTTTAAGAAATGTTAGAGTGCTTTGTTAATTTGCCAAGAAAAAGAATTTTAGTTTTAAGAATGCAAAAAGAAAAGAAAACATCTAAGGAAAATTATTTATCTTTATCCCTAATGTTATCATTCAATGATGGTCATAAGGTTGAGTTTGAAAGGAGAATCTCTACCTATGTTAGTATGTATAGATTGCGATTCTAATGTCTAACTCGAATCGAAAACAAAACGAGTGAATGCTAAGGGAGCATGATATATACAAGAAGTAAAAACAACAGACAATCAACAAGCTTTAACAAAGAGAGCACACACAATGCATAAGTAGTGCACACTAACTCAAGTCAAAAGACCTAACTAAGATATCAAATATTGAGGTAGGTAAAGGGGGGGATTCCTGACCATATATACCTCATCATCTAGGAAAGAAGGGGTAATGAAAGCTACTCTTAACCAAAGTATCGTATCATCAAGGCAAGAAGTAAAGAGAGTGGGGAAGTGGATGTCTAAAGCGACTACGCACCTAACCAAGATATCAATAATCGAGGTAAGAGATAGAAGACAATATGAACATGCACGGAGCATCAACATCGTCTGACGTAAACTCAAGACAAAATATGGGGGATTGGTTATAGATCCTTGTATTCCACTTGACTGAATCGATAACAGTAGTACAACTTGAAGCATCAACATACAATGTGAGCTAGAAATGACACAGACTAAAATGTGTGAGGGTCGATTGCAGACCCTTCTCCACTCACCTTCTTTGAGGACTTATCACTGGGTATGGGAATGAGACACCTTCATCGAAGTCTTTGGCACAAATGTGAACAAGCAATAGTAGGAATTGTCTTAAACAGGTCTTTAAATAAACTAGAATTGCCTCAAAGAGACTCCCATAACATGCATCTCTATCCTACTTCTCATTGCAAAGAAAGCGGTAAATGATGCAGAAATTAAACCAGACGGTGGAGTAATACCAAATAAACAAGATTCTGTTACAAGCAAATAAAACAGAGAAACTCTGTGGTCTTCGTACAAGCTAGCATCAACAAACAAAAGAGTCAGAAATCAAATGTTCAGAAGAAGTGTTGAAGCATCATCAATGTGAAAGTAAATCATAATCGAAAGGTGCATCAAACAAGCTCAAGGTGTTCGATAGAAGCTCAAAGTGTCGGATAAGAATTCCTGTCAAATAAAATACACAAACAGGACAGACAAACAGGATAGCAGATAAATAATTTGAGCATCTTCGAGTGATTAGAAATTTGTATCAAAGCTAAAATGAAACAAATGAAATATGAAAATGAATGCTTAATTAATTAACTTAAAAGTTGATTAAGTTAATTAATTAAGTTTAAAAAAGTTAATTAACCAAAACTAATTAATTTTTAATAACCAAATTAAATAACTAAATCGACTTTTAGTTAATTAGTTAAAAGCAACAAAGTAACATGAAATGAAAGTTTAATCGATTAATCAAGAATAGCTTAATTAATCGAGTTAAGAAAAATAGATTAGTAAACTAATCCATTTTTAATAACAAAATTAAGTAAACAAATCAACGCTAGTTTAATCAATTAAACGCGGATAAAAGATGGGAAGAAGTGTCATTTTGATCCATCTTGGGAAGCTTACACAAATCCACAAACAAGTTAGTAATCACAAGCAAAAGTGTAACCAAATGGAACTTGCATGATGCACATGAACAATTCAAGAACCAAACAATTGATTATTCAAGGATTTCAATTCATAAATGAAACTAACACCAAAGAAACTCATACTATTTATTCAATCCAAAATCGAACATAGAAAATTGATTTTGAAACAAGCTAAGATCAAACAAATCAAATCCACTTCAAATAAGTTCAAGACGAAAGAAAGTAAACTCAACCAAAGCCAAAAGATCTCTCGATCAACCTAATTCATATTCAAAATAACAAAGCTCAACAATGTCTTTAGAATCAAAATCGAATAACACCAATTCAAACTGCGACTTAATTCCGCTTCAAAACATGAGACCGATTCCAAACGCAATTGAATCAGTTAAAAATGGAAACTGGACATCAACTTCCTAAATCTAAACATGCTCAATAAAATCATCTCAACATGTACAAAACAACTTAAGGGAACAACCAACAGTGCCACTCGAATTCGCCGCTTAAAATCAACGTATCATAACATAACACCATCATAATGGTTTTTCAAGTCAATTCCAAATCAATTCCAAATAAACAGTACCTAAATCAACAACAGTGACCAAAATCATCTCGAAGTCTTCATTCAACTCCTAAGTTTCATTCACAAACAAAAATCACTATCAATTCATCCATGAATTTCAACCATAACATCAACAATAAAAACCAATAGCAGCATTCAGAAATCAAACTCACAACATAACAGAGTTATCACAATATTTTTTAGAATTGTCACAGGTTTTCACAGCCTAGCATTTAACTTAAAAGGTGACGCAATCGAACGACATTTTCAACAGAGTTCGCGCACTATACTCACATACTAAAACTGCTCCCCTTAGAAATCAGCACAGGTTTCTCGCAGAAAAATTGGAATAGCATAACAGAGTTATCACAATCTTTCTCACAGGAAATCATAGTAGTATTTTGTCTCAAACAAACAAACACAACAGTAAACTGTTTTTCTTCTCACAGTCCAACATAGCCATTTTCACAAACATTAACAGCATCATAATCATGTAAGTTCAAGCAAACACAACTGAAGAAAAGGATCGAAAATTACCGAGACGTCGTAATCGCCAATCGAAGCTGGATAGAGATTGTTGCAAACAGAATTGAATGTTGGCGGAAGGGAATATGCCGACACAGTTGACGCGGAAATCGGAGAGTATCCGCTGTTGTTGATATTGTAGATCGGAGGATCACCGACGGACAGAACGAGCAAAAAATTGTTGAAGTAGCTATCGCCGGTTTGTGACTGGTCTGAGCGTGAGAACGGAGTTCTGGAGACTGCGTCGATGATGGATGTTCACGGTTGAGGCTGGAAGTGTAGCTGAGATGTTTGTGTTGTTGAAGTCGATGGTGGATGGTGAGCTCATGCGACAGAGGTGAAGTTCCGTGACCGGAAGTGGGTTTCGGTGGTTGATGATAGCAGATGAGAGGAACAGTTGGGCAGAAGATCGAAGGGAGTATGGTGGTGATAATGATGGATCGGCGGAGATGATGAAGGTTGGTGTTGAGACGGAGGCTAGGCGGTGAAGGGCGATGATGATGGTGATGAAGCGATGACTGGAGGTATGTGGAACAGATGCGGAGTCCCCCTTTTGCGATTTGGATCTGCCCCCTTTTCTTATAGCAAAACAAAGTTTTTTTCCCTTAGGTATTAACAAAAGACCAAACAAACTCTTATGATACTTTTTCTTCTTATTAAAAATAACTAAACAAAAAAACAACAATTTTATAAAATACATTTTTTATACCAATTTGAAATTAAACCAAACTAAAACTTGATTAATTAAAAAAAATGAAAACACACATGTATTTTTAATATTTTCTTAATAATAAAAATAAAGAAAAATGCAAAGTTAATATCTAAAAGAAAATTTGATAAATATTTAAATTGAAAAATGAATGTAAATATACGAAGAAATGTAAAGATATGTGTGAGAATAAATTGGATATAAATAATGCGAATGTGAAAATTTCGAGGTAAAATTTGGGGTACAACACCCTCCAAATTGTTATTCTTTGGTGCATCGAAGAGGGGACTGATCATATGCCATGGATCCACTCTCAACCCAATAGCATGTTGTAATTTGTTTTTGCCTCGATCACCATAAATATAATAGGCCTGATAACCGAACCCACAGTGAGATCTAGTTGTACCACACCCAATATATGGCCTATCTTCTCTTCATAGTTAGGCAACACCATATTGTGTGGCTTAATGTCTGTGTCTAACATACCAATTCTTTTTAACATGAATTGAGGCATCAAATTTACTATTGCCCCACCATCAACCAAAATCTTGTTGATCCCAACTCATTCCACCTTTCCTCTTATAAATAGAGGCTTAAGGTGATTCTTCATTGACTGATCAGGACGCTCGAAAAAAGCATATGCTCCTCCACATCGTAATTATTCATGATATAGTAACACACAGATTTGTGCCTAGCCATTTCAGCCTCATCCACTTATCCATAGTCATCCACTTCCATTACTTGATCATATTCATGTGGAAGTACACATACTATGTTGCAACTGACATTAAGTGAAGACTTGCCATCTAATTTGAAATCATCTGTCATCACGTCATCATCACACCTTTGGTCTTTTTCTCTGATTATCTTCTTCTTCGGGGAAAACATTTTTCTTTTGACGAGTTGTTTCTTTTCAGCAATGTCTGTTAGGAGACACTGATTGCTGCTTGACTCCCCTATTTCCTTCTCTACGAATTCTTTGTGAGCCTTCTTAATTCTTTGGTGTCTGCGCCCCTGGGTCCTGGTCATTGGGTTTTTTCCCTTGTAAATATCAGATCTAGATGTATGTTGTTTTGATATCTGGAACTCTTTTCTGTAAGCAATTGATGACGCTCTTCCCAGCTCGAAACTCTTCCATTTTCCTTGTTCTGCTCTTCTATTTTCATTTGACTTAGTCCATTTATCAGTAGGGACATTTGCTGGGAGTTTGAAGGTAACCCTTTGATTTGCTTTAGAATGGGGGCTATCATCCCTTCTTGGAATCCCCCTTTTGTCAGAAGTGAAACTATTATGTTGGCTTTTCCAATTACCCATAGTTCGGGCATAATGGACTCGTTCGTACTCCTCTAAAGCCTTTCAATCATATACAACACTGCACCTATAACACATTAAACATTTTGATTGCATTTTATGGAAATGGACAAGAAAACCTAGCAAACTTTCGCCAGCTTTTGGGTAGACCATCTCCATCATAACATCTTTCCTCCAGTTACCCCTAGTTTGAGCCTGTTGGGTTTGTTGATAAACCTCTGTTTCTTTTCGATCATAAATGATACTGCATCTTGGGCACATCAATCCTTCAAAGTTATTTTTGTGGCAACGAGTCAAATAGTCCAACAAACTTTCTCCAGCTTTCACATAGGTTTTGTTTAATAAGGCATCTTCTCAAACTTAACTCTGAGACCTTAAGTGGTATTCAACATTTCAACATTTGGAGCAACATCTTCAGTAATGTTTCCTTCGAACCTCTAGTTCATTAGACCTTCAATAGTCTAGTTGACAGGTTGCTCGTTAAAGAGGCCCTTGGCAGCCTTTGTTGATTTAGCATTGGGATGAACTTTGTCAACGATCTCCATGTTGATAGAAATTGGTTCGGTGTAGTTAGTTGCCGCCATATTTAAAGGATCTGCATCGACCTTCATATGTGGCTTGGTTTTTTCACTAAACTTATGCCTTTCTTCCTTGATGGCATTTTGAATCAGATCCCTGAAAAGGAAACATTGTGAGGTTTTATGCCCTAAAAAATTGTGATATTTACAAAAACATATTTTCTTTCGTTGATCTAAAGGAGGAATTTTAGCACCAGATGGTACTATCATTTGACCATCTTTTACTAATAAATCTAATATTTTGTCACATTTTGTGACGTCAAAGGTATATGTCTTTTTTGGGAGTTTATCATTCTTTTCAGGCTCGACAGGATTTTTGTCGTCCGAAGGAGCCAGGACTTTACAAGGATATGGTGGTCCCTATTTTAACTCAGCCAAATCGACTTCGACTTCTTCGAAGTCGGGGAGTTCAGTATAGGTTTCTTGTTCGTCTTCCTCTAATTCAACGTATGCCACTATTTCCTTTCGATGGCTCTTGTTCGCTCTGGCCTTTTCGACCTTCAAGCACTCCACTTGTCGAACCCTATCTGCCAAATGGGCCATATCCTTTAAGTAATTGGGATCCAATTTATTTCTGATGAAGAAATCCAATCCTCTTGTAGCCATCTCCACTAATTCATGTTCCGGTACTTGGGTGAAACATCTTGCCTTTAGTAGGCGGAATCTGTTGAGATAATCATCAATTGGCTCACTAAACTTGTGCTAAAATGCTGGCCAATTAGCTGAGACTTGTCTTCGATTGACCTACATAAAATTGTTCATGAAATAGCCTTTATAAACGCGTCCAATCTTGGATAGAGTTTGCTGTAAGGGTAGTAAACCATGTGAAAGTATTTTTGGTTAGTGAACTAGGAAAATATTTTATCCTTAGTTTTTCATTGTTTGCTATATCCGCAGCCTCGGTAAGATACCTAACTATGTGTTCGATAGTTGATTCGCTAGTGTCACCGGATAACTTTATAAACTTAGAGACTTTCCAACCTCTGGGAAATTCAGTCTGTAAAATATATTCAAATAAGGGAGAAGTGTAATTTGGCCTAGCAAGGCCTACATTTACACCATTTCGTGCCATAATTCTTTCGACTGTGGCTGCCAGATTATTGTCTACTGCCATATTGTCCTGTCGAACTTGGTATAAAACTTCATCAGTATTTTAGTTTCTATTTATCATCTTAACCCTAGTTTATTGTTTCCTTAACACTTGTGGTTATTTCCTAAAAGGTTCAACCCTATGTATTTTGACATTCGCAATTCTAGGAATTTCGACCATTCCTCCCTGATTTTACATATTCTCCTGGGGTACATTTCTTTGATACTGTTGAACTTGTTTAATTGTTAGGTCTTCTTCTAAGATTACCCCTTAATTTTCCCTAACCCACTCCCTCTGAGGATGTGTTGTTGGTTGGGGCACACCAAAGAAATCAGCGATGTGTGTCATTTACGCAACCATTTGTTGGTTCGCCTGAGTAGTGTTTTGAATCAAAGGGTTGGAGATTGTACCCATTATTTGTGCAAGAATTTGGATCATTTCATGGTTACTCTCGTCCATTTGATGTCTAATAACTGTTGCATATTGATTTGTTAAATTTGGTGATTGGGAAGAAACTCCTCCAATTTATGGTTGGACGTTTCAACCCCTGTTATTAACCGCAAATCCAGAGCTTTGTAATGGCAAAGTGACGTTCATCACATGATTTGAATATGTTAAAGTATAATTATGTAAACCCATCATAAATGAAGATGGTATACCATAAGGCCGCTCACGGCCATTTTGAGGCATGGAAAAACCAAGTGGCCCCTGAGGCCTATGAAAAATATTTCCCTCTAGAGGGGGGTTCCTTATGAACTCTGGGGGCCTATATAAGTTAAAAAAGGGCCCGTGTAAGTATTCGACTGCATTGGCGTCGAATTTGTTGATGATGGTATGGCCTTAGAAGAAGGTGCATATATCGTAGTTCCCCTTGTCGAAGTGACTGGGGTCGTAATTCATCATTGTTAGGAGAATTTTGATTACCCGTCTTGCCTTGATTATCCATTTTCCTAACGTATTTTCTTTTAGGTATTTCCTTGTTGTTTGTGGCTAATTTATCACTCCGAAGTCTCATACAACACAAAAAATATAGAAAGATAATGAATATTTTCAAAAACTTTTATTGGAATTGAAAAATAACAGAAATATTGAACACAAGTCCCACTGGGTGTGCCAATTTATTTACCGTGAAATTTGGTAAACAATCATTGGTCTTCTAAATCGAATAAAATGGTAACTTGAAGGATCAACCAGATTGATCCTAAGTACATGTGTTCTCATTCAGAACTCCTATTCTTAAAAGGAAAAGTGTTTTCGACAATATCTTTATTCTTTTAGACAAAGATTATTTCAATTATTACTTCGTATACGGTAATGTAATGCTTTAAAGATAAAAACTGGAATGTAAAAGGCTTTCGACTGAAATTTAAAGGAAATGTATAAAACTCCAATTAAAGGTGAATGATTATAATATAAAAATGGTGTATCATTGTTTACCTTGGGTTTTGGTAAACAACCGCTGATCCTCCAAATGGTTACTTATTTGGTTACTCGCAGGATCGATCAGATTGATCCTAGGACATAGGTTGATTTTGAAGTTTGATTAAATTGGATAAGGCTTTAAATAAAAAGGTTTCAAGTAAATTGCATGAAGGAAAGATTTGGTAAAATAAACAAGGCTTAAAGTAAAGGGTTTCGACAGGAAATGTAAAGAGAAAAGCAAGTAAAATTCTGGAAAAGTAAATGACTTTAATTGATAAAATTGGTGTTTCACACATACATTTCTCAACAATTCTTTCTCACACGCTGGGTACTCGAATCTATATGAGTGACTTTGTATAGAATGGTGAACACACGCGAGAAACTACATGTCTACTCCTATTTATACTAAAACATCCCAAGTAACCGTCGGGCAGTTACACTGCTTCGAGATCAATCCACTTGGCACGTTCTCCATGCTCGACGCTCCAGATCCT